TCAAGTGATAATAATAATAAAAATATTCAATATTGGTTATTGTTTGATAAAAATCTACCAGTAGATAAACAGACCTATTGATTCTTCTATTACAACACCAACCACAGTTTTGAGAACAATTTAAGCACATATTTATTGCTACAATTTTATATGTAGGTAACATTAAATATTAATGGTAATTTTCTTAACAAGATTGCTACAGACTTAAGAGTAATTATAAATATTAATTAATATTGAGTGTAGGTATATCGATTTATGTATGAAAGCATTCCAAGACACAAATATTTAATACATTCATATATACGCACGTATTTATTTAAATAAAACGTAGCAAATATATAAATTCAATGTAAATGTGGTTTATTTTTATAGTATGTAAACCTCGTATCCGTCTGTACCTTCGTTTTGTCGAGCTATGTCTAACTCCAAGTATTGACAGTGCGACACTTATACATTTTTTAATTTGAAAACTTTACGATTTTTGAAAATCTTGGTATTTAGGATGGAGTTTGGGTTTACTACAGCAATATTTTTCAATTTCTCTATCTTAGCGCTCGTGCTACAAAGAAACTTTTCCTGCTTAGCTTATTTATAACATAAAAGTATGCGATTTTCTATTTAGATAACAGCCTTTTCATGTCCAGCAGAGGTCGATCTGAATAAAACAATGAGTGTGAAGTCGCGGTAGAAGTCGAGTGTGAAGTATGAATATTTTTTGTAGACGATTGTCTCACGTCAGTAGGAAGTGAAACTATTGCATGCTTATTATTGTTATCTAACATTGACATATTCGTTTTACTCATTGTTGTATAATACCTACAATTATTCAATTTGTACAAGAAAATTCCGGTTTAATAAATATTAGGTGGAATGTTTATGAGGATATAAATTATAAATTAATTCAGAGATGTTTCAAGTAACGTGAAAAGTAGTGAACAAAGTTTATACCTGGAGAGATGTTTTATGACGATGGCAGGTACATTTAAAACAATATTATAAATGAGACAGACAAAACTAGTGTAAGAATTTATTTTTATTTATTTATTTTGCCTTACCTATTTATGGTTTTTGGTTTTTATTTGTAGCTTTACTTTATTTTCATTGAGAAGTAAATAGCATAAACAATGTAACTCCTTATTCCGTTTTCCAAAGTGCCTGCTTGCTGGTAGGCGGTTCCCAACCTTGCTATTTTCAACTGCCCCTGAACGAACAAATAGTAATCCTTTAAATACTAAAATATTAACTGAAAAGAGAAATGCTTCTGCTCTTACGTTTAACGTACTTTTTTATCGAAATATGTTTAACAATGTGCAATTGGCTCTACTAGCTTTTGACGTGTAACGTCTTTAAAATCACACTGAAACATACGGGTACCATCAGAAAAGTGGACCGCAGCTTCGTTACAATTGTATTATATGTATAGATATTTATTAGGATATGTGGTTTTTGTCGTTTTGATGTGATCCTATTGGAGTTTTTCAATAAGGCCACTAATACAAGTTCCGTTTCTTTAATTGGATCCGCCGTTAGTCCTTACTAAAATTGACATAATTTGTATGAAGATGCATTAATACGTATATAAAAATTGTATATTTTTGGAACGGCTGACCTCTGCTAAAATTTCACCCTTCGCCACTGATATACATGGTTTCTATATTCCAGGACGTGCTACGACAGTAGTTAGTCATATAGATTTTCCATTACCAACTATGACCTTTTGTTTTAATCATAAAGTTGTAAGCATATATGCATAAATAAGGTGACTAAAATAATATAAATGCTTCGAATAAATACTGCATGTTATAAGGTTAAGTAATAAATAAGAATCTATAACTAGTTATGAAGGATTTCCGTAAAATGATAATAAGCTGATAATTAAAATTTATAGAAATGTCAAGTCTACGAATTTTTACAAAAATGAAATTGGCAGAATTAATAGCATTATAATAGTTATCTTGTATTAAGCATTTAGTACCAATTAAGAGAAATATTACGAAAGATTCGTATTTTAACGCTAAGACATATTTTTTTATTTTTTGTAATTATTGTTGTATTGCCATTAATTTGTAGTAATTTAATATAGGTTTTTATTGCATTTTTCTTTGTAAATATTATTTTTATTATTACTTTATTTACTATCCTGTCGCTATTTTATTATTTATATATAACTTAAATAATTTTACACGTTTGGCTCAGTTTGTAGGGACCTACTGGCTGTGCCAGCGGTCGCAGGCTCGAATCCTGTGGGGGGCATTCATTTGTGTGATGATCACGAATGTTTGTACTCCAGTCATGGGTGTATATATAATATGTATGTATTAACAGTTATATATATATGTAGTGTATCTACAATCTGGTATCCATAACATAAGCCTCGTAGCTTACCATGGAACTAGATGACGCACAGCATCATCTAGTTAATGTCCCAACATATTTATTTATCCTACTACATATTTCATAAATTTTCGTTATTAATCATCATGGCCGCGATGTATCACTTGAAGTTAGGCAACTACTGATAAATTAAACGTTAATTCTAGTTCTCCTTGGGGACGAGGTTCTAACTGGTTTGTGAACAGAATAATATACGCACTCAACATTTGTAATTCCGCACAATTACATACATCGTAAGTTTGGAAACCTGTCGACAGCAAGTATTGTATGTGCTTCCACTATACGATCTTATTGCGGTCACATGACTATGCTCAAGATTACATAGCCATTGTTACCTATACATATAATAAAATTGTAACTTAGCCGAATCTGTACATTCGATATTTTTTGGTAAATCTTATAGAAATAAACATTATTATCGATACAGAGGTCGAATCTATAGTTATTAGAACTTTTGTCTGTCTGTTACCGCATCACAGAAAAAGCACTGGAGGGATTTTGATTAAATTTGGTAATTTGGTTGGTCTGCTTATCCGGGTCAGCATATAGAATACTTTTTAAAGCAGGAAAATACCTAATTTCTGAGAAAAAATACAAAAACTGCAATGTAAGGGTATACTGATATGTAAAACCTAAGAATTTGGTTTTTGGTCATCTCAACGCGGGCGGAGCCGCAGGCAATGCTAGTAAAATATAAGTTCGGACATGAAAAAATTTGAAAATAATGTAAAGTTTCGTACATTTCACAATATCTTCTATTTTTCTTAATTTTACAATAAATGTATTATCATAATGGATATATTTGCAATTTGAGACGTTTGATATAAAGTTCAATTTTTGGACATTAAAAAATACAAGGTCTTTGAAAGCACAAGATTATGCAAATACTAGTCAATGGGTGATCTATATAATATATAGAGTACTTAACAAACATGTTTACACATATAGTTGTACATGCAACGTAATTTCCTCAAGAATTTATGCTAAAATCAGCAGTTCAAGTTATATATATGCCTCTTAAAGGTATGTGCTGATAACGTACTACTGTTGTAAGGTATGGTTTGTTTAGTGATCAAGCAACATAACACTATCTCTCTAAAATATTTTGGTTGTGCTCGATTTAGAGAAATATAATTCGGATTGTCTCTTTTGTTTGTACATACACAAGTATATTATATATAGTCATAATCTTCAAATTATACAGAAAATTCGATCTCAATATCTACAAAATAATAGTATAAAAAAATAATATACATAGGTACCATATAATATATTGAAATATAGTGCAATCAATTTTGTTCATCAATTTATAAATCATACATGTATACGTGTTTTCTACTTAAAATAGGGGTCCAAAAACATAGAGTTCTAGCCTAGATCTTTTTGAGTAGGTAATTGAAATAAAAGAAAAAACGTTATTAATTTAAACTATTTGTATAATAGAAATCATTCAAGAAAAACTAACTGGTCGTATTGGTCTAGCCATAGCATCATAGAAAGCTGGCGTTGTTTTTGTGCGATGTCGTAGGCAGAAGTTAGTGCAATATAAAATCTGTAATTTTATTTAGCAATAACGATGATGTCTATTAGCAAAATGATAGATAGCAAATAATGTAATTATTTTTAAGTTTACTTATACTTAACTTATACTTTTAAACTAAAAGAGGTATTTTTCTACGACTGTAGGTGATTCTTTTATATGAGACCACCCTTGAAGTTTAGGTAACTTATTCACTAAAAAATAAATAATGAAAATCAATTTATTAACCGACTTCCAAAAAGGAGGAGGTTCTCAATTCGTCGGAATCTACTTTCCCAGGTGGTCCCATATAAATTTTATAAAAATCGGTCAAGCGGTTTTTTTTAAATCAACAAATAAATTATTTTTTTAAGTAAATTGCTTAATTGAACATGTTATTAAAAAACTTTCATCTAACAAATTACCTGCATATTACGTCTACACAAAAAATGGTCAAATAAAAACTTAAAAAAAAACCGACTTCCAGGCACTAAAATGTAAAAAATAACTAAACGAGGGTTTTAATAATTTATATCAGAATAGATACCTAATCAGATATTTTCGAAGTCGGTGCCAGCCTACAATATTTTAAGATATGAATATCTAATACGTAAATATGTGTTTTACGTATCGAAATATATTAGACTTGCTTTGCATCGGCTGGCACCGACTTCGAAAATATCTGACTAGGTATCTATTCTAAATGAAAGCCCTCGTTTAGTTATTTTTTACATTTTAGTGCCTGGAAGTCGGTTTATTTTTTATTTTAATTTGAATACATTTGAAATCGGTCATACAATATAGCCTTATCAGAAAATATACAGACTGAACTGAACTAGATAGTTTGTTCGACGTTTGTACCAAGATATGGAATATAAAGTAACCACGCTATCTATATCCAAGGTTATTACGGTCATCCGAAGGTCCATGAGCACATAGAACTTTGATGACCATTTAGTTAGTAACATTATTTTCGCTATCGGGAAAGCAGAATGAAACATATCTTTAATATTTATGATATTTTAATTTTTGTATGATTCCTAATTTAAATAAGATTTATTTAATTATTTTCATTTTTTATTTACAGTTAATTGCCAGAAAGACAAGGAAGCAGAGGAATTCATTTGTCCTGAAGGTACTCAAGGCAATGGCAATTTTGCTGATCCGGCCACTTGCCGGCGTTTCTACCAAGTGAGTACTATTAAATAAAATTTATAACGATTAAAATTTTTAAATTTAATAAGTTGTTCCACTTTGGTTTTGTCAAGATTAAAAATATTATTTTGTTTAATGAGCTACTAGAAAATATATTCATTTTCACGGATGTATATTATTACTTTCAATTATTTTAATTTAAGTAAATACGGTAAGGTTAAAATATTTAAGTGTAATACCGTTTATACTTAAGCATTCTAAACTGACCGGTTTCAAATAACTAAGTGGATTCTTATTGACAATAATTTAATTTATATATAAAGGTGCGATAAAATTACTTACATACAATTTTATGTAATGGTTATGCATACTTACACATACTTCATAACAGCTGTCTAATGTTTACCAGGAATTTAATGATATATTAAGTACATATCGAAAATAGTAACATTTTTTTTTATAATGTAGATTTTTTTTTATAAACCAGTCTGTCTGGATGGAGTCCAACTCATCCCGCCATCTCCGCCTGGGCCTACCACGCTGTCGTCTTCTTTTTGTTCTTCTTTTGTGCAGCATGATTGTATTTTATTACATCAGGTTCATCAAGTTATTCTAGAGGGCTTAACGAAAGGCTACAAAGAATGTACTCTATACGAGTAAAAGAATATTTTTTTAATAAAAGCTTTGTGAGAATATTTTTTTAAATAACCTATGTATACGTATTTATTGTGTTAAAATTGTAAGCGCACTTGTAATCAACATTTAAAATATGAATCATTCTTTTACATGGTTTATATTATGTATTTTTCTAACCACAAACATTTCTTTTTTAGTGTGTAGACGGTTATCCTTACTTGAACCGGTGTCCATCTGGCTTATACTTTGATGATATCAGCAAGTTTTGTACTTTCAAAGTTGAAGCAAGATGTGGTCCGATAGCAACAAGTAAGTTTTATAATTTTTTAATCCATTATGTTCCCTTCCATTTCGTTATTAAAAACTGTTTTATATAATGTACATTCCTATTGAAGACAATGTACAAACTTGAATGAAAATTGCAATAAACGTAATTCTATCAACTCAGGACTTCACAACGGTTTACTAACTTAAAACTACGTTAGTGGGCGTGTATGCTGTATAGTATATACCCACATGACGCAGTGATAGCTTTATTCCCGTACACACAAGTGTACAGAAACAGCGCACCGTGTCAGGAAACAAGAGAAGCGAGACAAGCGGGATGGCACGGATGCCAAACATACAACTGCGAATGCCTGCTCACACACTACGACTGTTTACCGACGGGACATGCACTCCACCTATGTACATAGCCTCCGTTGCGATCTTGGAACGATTGTTTGAATAGCTTCGTGATCACGAGTTTAATAAATATTGAAATAGAAAACGGTTTTCCACCTCAGGACTCCAGTGAGAATTTGACGCTCACTTCAAAACTCTTCGAATACAAGTCTATTTAAACAGATTATAAAGATTTCGTATTCAAATGAATTGAAAAATAGTTAAGTAAAGATTAAGCTAAAGTAACGTTAATGTTATTTCTCACAATAAAAAGTTTTAATGTCTGAACTTCTAGTGGTCTAAACGCTGGCTGAGCTAAAGCCTGGAACAGTTCTCAGATTTAAGACTTCCTCCATACTGAATATTGCGTGAATTAAAAACTTTATTCACAGATAAAATAAATTCCTGAAAATATATTTTTGTGGAAAACTTATTTCAAAATTTTCTTTTGAGCTTCTATTATTACATTTTAATATAAGATTGATGTTAAGAATAATAATAGATTAAGTTAGTAATACTAAAGTTATGAATGAGATAAGATACTTCGTTTTACTTATTGTTTATGAATATTTATGTTTGTTTTAGCGCCAGCTCCTATAACAGAAGCACCTCTAGACTTGGCCACAAAGTGTGATACGGCAGAATGTCAACTGCCATACTGTTTTTGCTCAAAGGATGGTACCCTAATACCAGGCGGTCTGGACCCGGAGGACGTAAGTCTGTGAACAATAATGCCATTGTCCTGGCACTAAGCACGCTAATTGAATTACAACTAGATATTCTAGTGCGGTTGGATTTGTAGAAACTAGATTGCGAGTCTTCGTATTATTTCTGCTAGAATAATTTTATTATTCGATTTTGCTGTGGGGAAATATATAATAAATATGTAGTCTGCCATAACTAAGTACACTAACTGAAAATAGTTTCTTGATATTCAAAATGTGATTTAAGTAAAACAATAGAATTCCGTAATAGCTTATAACTATATTTTAATTATTGAACAAAAGCTTTATTTAGACTTTAGTTTTTATAATCGACATCTTCGTATATATAATAGATTATAATAGATATGAGATTTGAACCCGAAGGACGCAAGACTTTGAACAAATATCATTGTGCTTGCGGAGGCACGTTAATTGAATTGCAGGACTACTCTAGTTCAGGATTTGTTAACATTAGAACTGGCGTGCGGGTTTTCATATAATTTCTACTTTATTTAGTAACAATAAGATAAAAACATATTTACTTATGTGATACTAAAATTTTTATGTTAACTCATTTATTTTATCACTTAGAGCAATGATTACGAAGTCTGGATTAGAAAGAAAGATTAAATAGATTTGTATTTGCAATAGTGCAATAGTGCGTTGATTGAATTGCAGTTAGATAAATATTTCAGTATTTGAATTGCAAAAAACAATTAGCATTTCTATTTTGTTATAAAATTTATTAATTTTCAGTTATAAATTAGTTAAAAAAATATATTAAGTGAATACATAGATTTAGAGAATTTAGTTAAAATAAAAAATATTTTTGACTAGCTTCGAAAAGTAGGAGGAAATCACGTCGGATATCTGGTAGGGCGTTTTTCAATGGTTCTTACCCAATATCTTCTGTTGAAAACCGATTTTAATCATATTTTTATAATCAATAGGCTAATTATCAAGGAATATTTCATATAAACAAAAAGTCCTTCCTTGTTGTTACTAGGTATATTACTTTTTAGATGATTTTGAAGTCAGTATACCTCTGCATTTAAAAAATAGTTCAAATTATTTTCTCTGCAACGTCGTATTTCAAATTTATTAAATTAAAACTTTACTTCAATACAGTTCTGAAAAATACTTTCTTTTTATTTTAAAATGAAACAGAATTGCATGCTATATATTAAGAGATGCTCGAATCCACTTAACACAAATTAAATTTCTCGAAAGACATTTACGCGTTAAGCTTTATTACTTTTTAGTTTTAAAAAATAAATTTCAAACGTTGGTACATATGTACATACTTATGTATATTAAAGTTATTTAAAATAATAAACGGCAATGTAGACGACGTATTTGTAGAGTATATAGAGTATATTAGCTATAATATTTCATATCTGTACTTAACATTAATACTTTTCTTTAATTCCAGACGCCCCAAATGATAATGCTCACATTTGATGGTGCCGTTAATTTGAACAACTTTGACTTGTACAAGAAAGTTTTTAATGGAAAATTACGTAATCCCAACGGCTGCCCAATTCGAGGCACTTTCTTCTTATCGCACGAGTACAGGTTAGTAGTGGTATTTTATAGTATTAAACCTCGAGTACTCTAACGTATTTTGCTAAAATATTACTAATGAAAACTTAAGATTACCCGTGAATGGTGCGGTTAGCCGCATTTGTCTAGAGAACGTTCGCAATAATGAAAGTAATATCCGACTTACTGTCATCAGATTATATTTCAATCGAAGCTAAGATGGGAATAAACTAATGGATTAAATTTCCGTTTCAATTTAATATCGATTGTTTAGTGCTTATTTATTAATCTTGCTGCAAAAGTAAGATTATACGGTTAACGATATCATTTAGTTAACAATGTGAATTGAATTTATAATATAAACAATAAAATATAGTACTCCTATAAATTTTATATTTATTGAGGCTTCAAAGTTATTTCTCTTTACAACTTTGATATAAAGTATGCCATTTTCTTCTTAATATACATATGATGTATGAAACTTAAGCCGTAAGCTTTTTGTGTGCGAGGCGTGTAAAGTAATCGAATGAGAGATGTTTCGTTAGGCGACACATAAGAGCCGTAAAATTGGGTTATCTGCAACTGAAAGCGATTAAGCCTTCTTGACGTGTCCTTTCTCGAGTCTTTACGTGCTTTTATCTTATGTCTAATTCTATAAAAGTCTTATAGATACTTTATATGAAGCTTTAGTGTCATGTTTTTTTTTATTATTTGGCAGTACATTTATTATCTATACATGTAATAAAATTGTTACTAGGCCGAATCTGTACATGAATTTTTTTTTTTAATCTTATTGAAATAGACATTATTATCGATACAGAGGCCGAATCTATAGTTTGTGAGTCTCTAGTCTATACTAATATAATAAAGAGATAAAGTTTGTGAATTGTAAGTTTGTGACGTTGTAGGGGGTAATCTTTAGATTTACTAAGCCGATTTAGATGGAATTTGGTAAGAAGATAGTTTGAGACCCTGGGAAGGACATAGGATACTTTTTATCCCGGAAATCATCCCTTAAGGGGGTGAAAATGGGCATGAAAGTTTGTATGGGGAAGCAAGCTAGGAACGAACCTGAGCGAAGCGAGAGTGAGTCGCCACTCGATTATAAAAAGAAATATTTAAGCTCCAAAGCACCAATACTACATTATACAATAAATTCATAATACAATTTTTATTTAACATATAATACAAGTAAGTCTGGAATGATCAGGGCAATAGAATTCGTTAGCCCAAGATGAGGGAAATTTGAAAATTACAGTTAGCTCTAGAATTCTCCTATATTATAATGGAGTATCTACTTACAGCTTTATTATTATAACTTTATTTTTGTTTTATGACTATATAAAATAGAATTTCAGAAAAGTAACTTCACTAACTTAAAATTAGGCTTATAAAAGTTTGTTTTAGTATCTATTATATTTACCTTCTAACTTAATTTAAGTTAGAAAAGGATTATTTACGGGTTACTAGAGTTGCCATCACTTATAGGAATTAAAGGATTTAAATTAGTTTTTTTTTCTTTTTTTAACAGACGTAATGGGTATATTCTTTCAGTATCACGTATTGTGAGGAAGACTTTTAAAATAGGTTAATCAAGTTAGATTATTTTCTCTCTATAATTTATGTGTCAACTTGTTCTTCAGCAATAATCATACATAAAAATTATTTAAATCAAAAGGTGATATTTGTACATTAATTTTATGACGTGAAACGTCTTTCAACTCACACCGAAATATATGGGTTACCAGGAGAAAAAAGTGAACCGTAACAAAATCGTCTATATCGTCTTACTTTAATAATTATAAAACTTTTAGTCTTAGAAATATAAATGTAGTATCATTATTTAGCTTATATAGTCAGCTCGCTGTTGTAACCTGGACTTTGCGTCAGGATTGGGTGGGTTTGTTAGGATAGGACACTGCGCAGAATAACTGGTATCGCCGTTCTCGCTCCTTTCTATTTGGAGTAACTCACGACTCACACGTGATAGCGTCGTGATTTTATAATGTACTAGCGACTCAACCTCGCTTCGCTCGAGTTCGTCCCTAGGTTGATTCTCCAAACAAACTTTCATCCCCATTTTCATCCCCTCAAGTGATGATTTCCGGGATAAAAAGTATCCTACGTCCTTCCCAGGGTCTCAAACTATCTTATTACCAAATTTCATCTAAATGGGCTCAGTAGATCCAGAGATTACCCCTTACAAACTCACAAACTTTACCTCATTATAATATAATTAAGTATAGATTTATAGAATTTATTCCGACCGAACGACTTAAATAAAAATACGTGTAAATTTTACAAAAACAATAGGAAATAATAACCAGAAAATGTACAAAAATATAAAAATTCAATATGTCGGTCTCAGCTCACGATTGTCATCGGAAAGAGGGGGTTACGGGCTACGCGTAGGTACCCCAATGTCCGGCGCTGAGCGAGCAAGGCGGTTCTGAGAGCATCTCAAATCTGCCAGGGCATGCTTAGTAAAAAACGCCTTATATTTCTTATTTCTAATAACAAAATTGTTGTCCAATATTAATTAAAAGAACTTTATATACACTACGTTTCAAGTTAAACCAACGTTGATGTGACCCGAAACAGACCCACCCGATTTTTTGGAATTTAAATTGCTTATTTTGATTACTCATTACGACTCCCATTGGTGACTTTTTAAACGACTCATAGTTAAATATTATTGAGAAAAAATATTTAATGTACAGCTTTGGCTTAATTAGAATTTTATTATAATGTACAGATTAAAATCTCGACGTTAAAGTTAATGAAACAGATGTATTGCTATTTTTCAAATATCTATTTTAATTGGATTGAAAAAGGGATATGGTTGTATGGTTTTTATCTGATTGTTGTTATTGTGTAAGCTTCGTAGAGCTTTATGGTTGTCTAGCGTAATTTTTATCCTGAGAAAAAATATGGTATCCGCTGCTAGGATAAAAAATACAAAGAAAGTTTTATGTTGCGGACTAAAAACATACAAATCGGGTAAATCCGTACACAGTAGCTATTATAGTATATAATAATTATTTGTACTTCGATGTTTAAGCTATTTTCATTGAGATAAATAAACACTGAATTTTTGTTTTATTTATACAGTAATTATGTAATGGTGCAGTCGCTCGCACACGACGGTCATGAGGTAATTATTATTATTATTTATATTATTTATATATTATATTATTTATATATTATATTATTATGTTATTAAATGTAAAAGCAAAATATTGAATTTAATTTTTTTGATTTATTGAATTTAGAATTTAATTTCGTTGAAACGTGGAAGGTATTTTATTTAGCATATTTTTTGTAAAAAACATCCGTGTTATACTCGTATATTAATATTATAAATGTGAAAGTTTCGGAGTATCTATGGATGTTTGTTACTCTTTCACGCTAGAACGGCTGAACGGATATGAAATTTGACACAGAGATTATAGTCTGGAATAATATATACTACTGCTGCTACTTTTCATCCCGGAAAAATATACGGTTCCCGAGGGATAGATTTGTTTTTGTTTTCTTAGAGGCGAACCCGAGCGAAGCGAGGGTGAGCCGCTAGTGTAATAATAATATTAAAAACAAAGTATTAAAAGTTTGTTTGATCGCGAATGCATCTTGAAAAGTTTACGAATATTACTGGGATACATATTATTATGTCCAAATAAACAGGGGTCATGTTCGTGTTTAAAGATTAATTAGAATTATACACATGGGTGGAGTCGCAGGCATAGGCTAATATAGACATTTTTAATGTTCCAATCTCATTTTATTTTAATAATTCGTTCTAAGTTACAATTTATAAAAATATATTTTGGCTTTTAGATTGCCACAGGTACGATATCTCAGCAACAAGGACTCCAAGACAAGGGTTACGAAGAGTGGGCCGGCGAGATGATTGGGATGCGCGAGATTTTGAAAATATTCGCTAATGTCTCTCGATCGGAAGTTGTAGGAGCTCGCGCTCCTTTCCTTAAGCCTGGAAGAAACACACAATTTAAGGTTAAATATTTACTGGCTGGTATTCTTTTATATGTATGGTATACACATCGTGTACGTCACGTCATGGTCACAGGGATTTGTTTTCTTTATGAATTAGATTTGTAGTGTTTTGATTAGAAAAGCTTGATTCTTGATTAAACTTGAAGGGAAAATATTTTATAGAAGTTATAAAAAAAATTAAAATTCACTTAATTGCTATCCAGTTAGTATATCTATAAGACTGAACATTATTAAATATGTCATATAAACGTATACGTATTTTTTACTTCTAGTATAACTCTTACAATATTTACATGGGTATCTAATATTTTTTTTTATTATTTACGCGAATATTTGACAGTATTGTAAATGTATTGTATTTGACAGTATTGTAATGTAGTCGCGGTATCTCGTAACAACTACGTATATTTAAAATAATTATTGGGACGTCTAAAACCTTAGTCATTCCTTGACTATGTTTGCTGTAAAGCATTCGAAACGTCGGAAACCAAAATATAAAATAAAACTGCGACAATATTCGAAGAGATTGTTTGATTTAAAAGGGGTATCTAAGCTATTCTTACAATTACAATAGAAAAATAAGATAAATTAATAAGAAAGCAAAGTGATCTTAAATCTCAAAAGGAGATTTAATGTTTTAGGTGTTAGAAGACTTCGGGTACATTTACGACAGTTCGGTAGGCGTGCCTCCGTTGCCGATCCCCGTGTGGCCCTACACGCTTGACTACAAGATCGCGCACGAGTGCAAGTCCGGAACTTGTCCCACTAAATCTTTCCCAGGTATTTAACTCATTTGACAATATTTATTATTTAATAATCATTTAATGCACAGATAAAGTTATCTCTGCATTAAATGATGTTGATTATAATCTAACTCTTCTAGATTTGGTTCTTGTGAGTAAGACCTATATATAAGTGTTTCTTTTCTGAAAAACATATAAAATAAAAACCTTAAATATCTTTACGTACGTGTAAACCTAATTTTCTTAAAGTTTGCATAAGTTTCAATACATTAATTTCTTCGTAACAATATACAATTATGGTAGAGCCCTATATTACGTTTATATGTACATATACGTATGTATGTATAATGTGGTGTACGCCTCTCTCAACTAATACACTTGAAACTCGCTAGCGAGCACGTTAAATATTTGCAAGACAAATTAAATAACAGCAAACTAACCTATTTCCAAGGTAATTCATAATTGACATACTTTAAGAACGAATATGTTATTTATTTTACTTCTCTCGCTTATTTTAAAGTATAGTGCCCGGCAAAGTGACGTCAATCTATCTATTCTATTTCATTTAACATAGAAAATAGAACGTTGCAATATGCCGTAATACTTTCTGATGTGTGTTGATAACCATGTAAAAATCTTGTCATGTATCTAACGGAGCCTTTCTCATGGTAACTTTAACATTTTTGGAATATTTTAGGTTTTATGGGGTTCTACCTACCCATAACCTACAACTATTGCTACCTACAATAATAATTGTTTTTTTAACCTCATCAACTTTTAGGTTTAGTTGGTTTGGTAATAGCAGTATAATCGATTTAAAAAAATATAGAAGTTAAAAAGTAATTAAAAATCCACCAGCTGCCTAAATATCAGGTTTTGACAATAAGGGCCACTTGTATCAAAATGATTGTTATGACGTAACTGGAAAGTTCAATTCAATTCTTGTTTCAGTGGCTCCTAGAATAACGTTGTGCTGAAATATGTTTCGCGTACGTCAAATTGTATTGTTTGACATAAGTTAAACATATGACGTTTAAAATAAAATAACAATTTGGTGCAAACGGCTCATAATATTGTTCGTCATTTCTTGACGTGCACAATTCAAATTACATTCTATTGCACAAATATGCTTTCTCAGTCTGCTTTGTAAACTAAGTTAAAGCAAGACTTGAATTTTCCATTACTATTGTATACTACTTTAATAAAAAATAAGTTGAAACTTATTTCTGTTGTTAACATAACGCATAATATGCGCTGGGTTGCGGTTTTAAAAAAATACTTTCTATAAAGAACATTTGAGGGTTAGATTAACCTAATCATTGTCGCTAAAATTTGTGAAAATGACTTATGTAAGCGTTATATATATTTTTTATTTTTTTCCATTAACGATAGATAACAGTAAGATTAGTATACATAATATAATAAAAAATCTTTTGATGCTTGTAACTATACCCTTTGGGGCAATAGTTCTTTTCAAAACATGTAACTTCTGCTCAAAACCTTTTTCTATTTGGAAGTTTTTAGATAATTAACTTTTTACAGAAAAACAAATTTGTTAAAGCCTTAATAATTACGACAGGCTAATCTACTGTGGGATATGCGTAAAGTAAAGATAATAACGTTAACGCTTTCTGATGCATGAGAGTCTTTGACATAGGTACGTTGAAATTAGATCTTGTGGATGAAATTGTTCTTTGATGTAAACCAACACTTGAGTCAAGATATTGCATCAGATACCTGAATTAATTTATGATATATAAAATAAAATGGAGGAATATAAAAAAGCAATTTAACACCTCCAGGTAAATTTCTAAGAAATTAATTAAAATTCTAAGAAATCTATTGTTAACTGACACGCCGGCGTGTCCGCGGTCGTTGAGGGTATAATATTAGTATAGATTAGAGGGCACAAAAAGATGTAACTAGTATATCTTTCTATATGTAGGTACCACGCCTGTATGTGCATATAGCTGTCTTACACGCTCGATTAAGAAATTGTGCACGAATGAACATTGTACGTCTGATACATGCTTCACTAAATTACTCGCCGGTATTAACACTTCTATTGCTACATTACGTAACATATATTGTTTACTGTATTGTTAGTTACAGTACGAATTCATTCAATTGTCATTAAAACTTAATTAAATATTTGTCAGATTCCGATACTATCATATTGACAATTCATTCAAAATAAATGACATTCGTTAAAAATAATTGACACTTATCAACTTGAAACGTACAGACTGACTAATTTATTCTTTTTATCTAGTTTACATTAATATCTAATAATGAGAAATCTGTGATTTGTTATATATTTAAGGATTTTAATAGAAATCGTGGAAAAATTAAAAAATTATAAGTCTAATAAAACATACTTATATTAAATATAGTACTTAATTTCAATATTCATTTTCACAGGTTTGTGGGAGGTACCTTTCAATGCTCACTATGTGGAAACATATGAAGGAGGACATTGTCCCTACTTGGATCAATGCGTTCTGCATAATCATGATTCCGACGAGGTTAGTCTTTATATCATAATATGAAATACTAGCTTCTATTGTTTATATAAGTAGCGACACACCCTCGTTTCCCTTCGGGTTCGTCCCTAGACAAAAACAAATCCCACGGGAACTACATTTTTTCGGGATAGAAAGTAATCTATGAGCTATTCTAGACTATAATTTGTGTGCCAAATTTCATCCAGATTTGTTCAGCCGTTCTGGCGTGAAAGAGTAACAAACATCCATCCATCCATCCATCCGGCCATCCGTCCGTCCATCCATCCATCCTCACAAACTTTCAAGTTTATTATATTAGTATGGATTTACCGGTATTAAGCCTGGCTGCTTTAACTTTATGGGAACGTATCGAAGGAAAATTTATCATAGTCTATTGAGGTCCTTGCCTTATTAAATCTTTAATAGAAACTACAAATTGTTCAGTAAAAAGTTCAATTGCAATCCATTCAGTCGTTGAAAGGTGCGTGATCAAACAGACGCAAACAAATATGCATAGATATATATAAAAATTGTAAATTTTTTGTGTACGTGTACATCTCCCAAACCCATTTTTTCCAATAATATCTTATCTGTACAACTTTAACCCCGTTACAGCTTTTTTATGTGTAGATGTATGCGTATATTAATGTAGAATTGAGAGTGGAATAATATAGAGAGGAATTATGCATGAACGTACATAAGCATACCATTAAAGCGTATTGTACTTGTGCAATATATATTGAGGTCCGATGACACTCACCAAACTTAGGGTTTATATTAAACTAGTTATTGCCCGCGATTTTACTTGCATTGTAAGGGGATTGGAGATAAAAAATAACTTTTTTGTAGCCATGATGCAATCTATATGTTTGCCTAATTTCATTGCAATCTGTTCAGTTCCGCGGTTTCAGTGTAAGAAGGTAACATACAAAATTACATTCAAATTTATTATATTAATTATAAGGTACAGAGTTTAATTATTTTTTTCAATATCAAAATAATAGCCGCAGATTTTTTTTGACCAATCGTTACCTCTGATTTATTTAGGTATACAAGGACGCTACTAATGCAGTAGGCAATAAATGAAATAGTTGTCTTAAATTTAAAACATACCTACATATTTATTTACACTGTTATTTGTCACTTTTATTTGTTTAAAGAAGATAGACTTCATTAAAACCACTTCTGTTCTGAATATCATTTTATTTCAAAACTTTCTATATAACGAGACGAAAGTCTTTGTTGTAACTTTCATCAGTTGACTTTTCTACGTAACAAATAACTTGCACAAACATTTATAATAATAAACTTCGTGTAGTCTTACAGGAGAAGTTATCATATATGAAGTTTGTGAGTTTTATGCAAATAAAATCATACGAAACTGCATGTTTCGTTATATGCCTTACTAATTAATTCAATATATTAGCAATAATAAAAAGTATTATTTTTTACACCCACGAAAAACAAAACTAAGCTTTAGAAAAATGTACCTATTAGATTTTTCGAAAACAGTAAAAATTTTGCAGTATATTTGTACTTCGACGTTTTAATTTTCAATTCAGTATAGAACGTATTAAGCGCGCGAAGAAATAAAACGCACGCGTGTGTTAACGGCTTGGAGTGTAATTGATTTTCCCGCATCGGAATAGATGTTCATGTAATAAAGGAAATAAAAGTTATGTAATTAGACTTTGCGCGCCACCGAATAAATTGCGCACATTGTGTTCTCAACTGACGCTGATCTTATTATCGTACTGCTATTATACTGCTTATTGCAATGGTAGAAAGTTAAAAATGTGATAACAGTGTATATAGTCTGTTAAGATATATTCAGAGGTAGAGTTGTTATTAAAATACTCATGTGTACCGTATAATTTCATTGTTGTATTTATTGTTGATAAATAGAATGGTGTCGTGTGTTTCGTTTATTAAAGGTGATAAAGAAAATTATAAATAGTAATTTTTCTCTTTTATTCTTTTAGAATTAGGGTTTGTGAATAAACAGTCGTATTATAAATAATTTATATTTATAATAAATAATTTATATTTATAATACGACTAAATACTAGGGTTCGCCCCTAGGTACGTATTAACGGTTAGTGATTCCCATACAAAATAAATACTTTTCGACTTCCCAGCAGTTTTTTTGGGTTTTCCCTATTTTTTATACTTAAAATGCTTCCTAGCTTCCCTAACAAAATAAAAAAGAATTATTCAAATCGGTCCAGCCGCTTTTAAATTTTAGCGAGACTAACAAACCGAATTGATTTTTATATATGCATAATTATAGATTAAATTTTCTACATTTACGAGCGATAGCCCTCGATTCGCTTGGGTTCGTCACTAGTTCTTAATTAAAAGTAGCTTAATGTTACTCCAGGTCATAGTCATCAATCTGTGTACTAAATTTCATCTGAATCAGCTGTTTTAGCAAAAGGAAGGAGTAACAAACGTAAATATATTCTCATTTATAATAATACCTAGTGAAATTATAAAGCTGAAGAAATTGATTTTAGTTGTTTCTATTTAAATTTTATAGCATACTAGCGACTCACCCTCGCTTCGCTCGGGTTCGTACCTATGTACGTTTTAATTTTTTTGAGCGGAACCATAATTCTTTTTTTAGAATAAAAGTATCCTATGTTACTCCCTATAACATCAGCTATATTCCAGTGAAAGTCCCGTCAAAACCAGTCCAGCCGTTTTAGAGGTTATCCGGAACAAACAGACAGAAAGAGAGACAAAAAATTTAAAAATTGTGTTTTTCTTATAAGTAAAGTATATAATTTCATATGTATTTAGTAAAACGCTGTTATTTTGACATTACAAACAGACACTTCAATATTATTTACCTGTATAGATTTATTGAGGAAGATTATATGGCGAGGCTATTGAATATCACGGTATGACTATTAGGAGCGCAGCTGCGAGCAAAAACTAGTAATTAATGAAGCTCATCTATTGAATATTTACTCAATATTAATTATTTATTAATTAGAATTGATTAAAAATGTTTCAACCGGCTTAAGTATAAAGTGCTAAAATATACAGTCGACTCTAGTTTTGTCACTTCCTTATTTGTCATCCTCCCTGTTTACTTGGAGCAACGGTGACAAATGCGTTGTATAGAATTAATTTTATATATTACTAGATTCGTTAAAGCTATAAAAAATCTAAAAAGATAGTTTCATATAAACTTTCATGCCCTATTTTACTCCCGATATGGATAAATTATGGATAAATTTCGAAAATACATGAATACGTATTTATTTAATTTTATAGAAAAGCATTAATACCAAGTTTCAAGTAATTCTGATCATAAATATTTTTTTGGATTGTATTATAACGGGTTTTCCCATGGGAATTAGATAATCTCTCGCGGTAAAAGGTAGCCTATGTCACTCTCCAGTCCTCCAACTATCTCCAAACAAAAAATCACGCCAATCTGTAACTCCGTTTCGACGTGAAAGAAGGACATAAAAACAAACAAATACATTTTCACATTTACAATATTAAGTATGGAAGTATAGATGTTACTTTTGAAAAATCAGTAGAATTTAGGTAAGTAGAGAAAGCAAATAATAATTATAAAAAATAAAACATTTTTCTAGGTGCTGGAATGGCTTCAAGAAGATTTTAGTAGATACTATGAGCAAAATCGGGCGCCATACATGATGCCTCTTCATACGAACTGGTTCCAGATCAAAGCGCTAGAGCAGGGACTCCATAAATTCCTGCGTTGGGCATCGAATTTGTAAGTAATACCTACTTTTATGTTGTTGACTGTTTGGTGCAGTGTGTGTATTTTTGGCACTGCCTAGAGGACGGATATTGAAAGCCCTACCTGCTTCGAATTGTTGGAAACCATTCAAACTGTGTTCTTTTATACATAGCTGTATGCACATATGAAGAAAATACATATATAATCCCTCCACGACCGCGGACATGCCGGCGTGCCAGTTAACAATAGATTTCTTAGAGTTTTAATTAATTTCTTAGAGATTTACCTGGAGATGTCAGAAGTTTATGTGCACAACTTGTAGTCATCTTAAACGAAAGCTTGTTTAGTTCGTTTAGCGTTCAATTAATATATTACGCACATAATTTTTACGCTTTTTTTTAAAAAAATGTGGGTTAATGCGGATGTATACTCTTTTTGTGTAAACTCGCAATATGTTCTATTATATTTGAAAAAATATTTAATACAGATATCGTTACGATTTTGTTATTTATCGTGTTAATTATAATATTTTAACAGCAACAATAAAGCAACGCAAGTACGCAAGCAAAGCAAATTTTTAAATTTGTTAGTTTTGGAATAGTTTGTTAGCATAATTGGTATCGTCTAATGGGATCTCTACATTTAACGTATGCAAAATTTGATTTTCCAACACATGTTTTATGTTTACACTGTAAAGTTAACGTGAACGGTTTTCAGCTGTTCGCTTTTGTATGCGGCTTCCAACTTATAAGTGTTAGACCGTGTGATGTTTTAAGAAGTTTGAAAGAAGATTACATAGATACTTGTTATTGTAATACTAATTGAAAAGGTTTAAGATATTAAGGATTTCAAAAATTAGGTAGATTGCTCAATAAAATACTTTCTGTTACGTGAGAAGTCATCAATAAAAACTAGGTACAATATTCATTGTGTGAGCATAGCCGCTAATATTATACTATAATATGTGTTAGTTTGTTCGTCCTAATATTACTATCGCGTAGCGGAGCGTATGTAACATCTTTACACCAAAAATAATAATTCGAAATGGCACGTCTGAATTACCCTAGTCGTCTAGTCGACGTATGATAACTAACGATAACAGCAGTTATTAAAGTAAATTGCCATGAGTGTGAGAGGAATAAAACATTTACATTTACATTTATAAAGCCTACCTATTAAATACATACCTAATCAAATATTTCCGAAATCAGTGCCAGCCCATATAAAGCAAAGCACTCCGACTTCGAGAATATTTGATTAGGTATGTATAGTAAATGAAAACTACCAATCAGTTATTTTTTACTTTTTAGTGCTTTTGTTTGAAGTCGGTTTTTATGTTTTTGTTAAAAAGTTTTTATTTTTCCCTTTTTAGTGTAGACAGTAGTAGCAAAGTAAGAATTCTAACGTGTTAGGCTTGTCAAATCAGACAAAATAAGCCCAAACTCAAAGTATCTACTATTTTAGTCCCATTCCAGTCAGACCTTTGTTCTTGAAATCATTCATGATATTCATATTACAATACCTTACTAGCTGATAGTTAAATCGTGGTAATCTGCATATTTTGTTACATTTTGTGTTTATAATTAGGTCACATTTAATACTAATTGAAATTAATATCTCTATTTATAGACGTAACTCATTTGCCTGTACTAGCGAGTTACTCTCGCTTCGCTCGAACTCTTTCTTAGATCTCTAAAGGCTTATAATATTTTACTCCAGGTCGAAATATTGATAACCGTCCAGCTGTTTTAGCATGAAGGAATAACAAACAAACACACATATACATTTTTTCGTATTTATAATACCATAAGTACGAGATGAAAACGAGATTGTTAATATATATTTATAAGGATATTTTGTTTTACTGCAAATTATCAGCTTGATTGCACTCGTTGCACTTTGTATTAACGGTATTGTATTCTATAACAATAAAATTGAATGAGGATTATTTTCTGTGTAATTAATACATTGTTTTAAACTTTTTAATTTAAAATTGCAGATGTATGTAGATCACGCTAGGCTTTAAATTGCTAGAATACAACCGAAATGACTACCGAAAGGTATCTAGTATTTTTTGCGTAAACTCATAAAATATAACCTATCAACCTTTTTGAAAATATTGCGAACTTATACCTAATAGGTAGGTACCTATCTAACGTGAATTGTTTCATACATACTACTTTGCATACATTAACTCTATATGTATAGTAGATATTATTTATCCTTATTAAAGCTTTCATAATCTAATTAATTTAATTGAATCTGCGGGAAGCGGATATCTAGATATTAAATTGCTATAATTATAAAACACAATGTGTATTAATATATTATATAATTATGTTAATTAATAAAAGATAATGGTAATGGGATAATTTGAATTCGCATAGCCAAATCGCATTAACGATTGTCGATACACACTTGTGTGTGATATTCCCTAATCTATACATATAAAATTGTGTTCCAATGGATTTATTCACATTGAAATTGTTATAAAATAATATTATATGAATATACATGCATGTAGTGCAACTTTTTATCATTTACAATACATAAGTTTAAATCATGGAATAATCATATTAATTAGTACTTGAAAATTTACTAAGTTTAATAATTTATTAATTTATTAAGTTGCTCCTACCTAACATCATACCTTATCTATACTAATATTATAAAGGTATAAAGTTTGTGAGTTTATGACGTTGTAGGGGGTAATCTCTGGACCTACTGAACCGATTTAGATGAAATTAGGTAAAAAGATAGTTTGAGACCCTGGGAAGAACGTGAGGGTGAGTCACTAGTGAGCGATATTCGTTTAGAGCCCGGCAGTTCAGCCAGGAGCGAAGCCAAAAAATGCACTGGTAAGTGGCTCACCTTGGTGGTTGGTGGGCCATGCGGGTTGCTCCTGATACTTCTCTGATAGCAGAGTGAACCGTTGGAGAAACCCTATGGTTGTTGTAGTCTGCCTCAACAGGTCAGTCGTCGACGTATCGTGGTGGAGTGAATAAGTGATCCGGCAACACCTCATTGAGACGGGGATGGTTTCGTTGGGTTTTAGTGGGTACTGTTTAGTATTGGTTTTTCTAGTCGGTGAGTCCCTTATAACAACTTGTATGTATGCAGGTGGAATGCATAAAAGTATTTCGGATCGTTAAAAAAAGAAAAATCAGAAAGAATAGTCTATGTACTTCATCTAAACCCGTCCAGCCATTTCCGCGTAAAGGATTAACAAACACACACATTCACATATAAACTTTTGCATTCCAAATAATATTAGTTTGTATGCTGACAAAACAATTGTTTGTATAATGCAAAACGTCTTGTTCATATCTATACATACTCGTATAATAAAATTGTAATTAAGCCGAATCTGTACATTAAATATTTTTTGAAAAACTTTTTGAAATAAACATTATTATCGATACAGAGGTCGAATCTATAGTTTTTTGAATTTTTGTCTATCTGTATGTTACCGCATCACAGAAAAACCACTGGAGGGATTTTGATGAAATTTGGTATGGTGATAGCTGGTTATCCGGGTCAACATATAGGATATTTTTTACCGTGGGAAAATATCTCATTTCTGAGAAAAATAAAAAAATACAAAAACTGCAATGTAAGAGTATACTAATATGTAAAACCTAAGAATTTGGTTTTTGGTCATCTGAATGCGGGCGTAGCCGCAAGCAATGCTAGTATAGTATATACACGAGTACTTTAAGGGTAGGAAAAAATGTGTATCACTTTTACTGGATTTTCTTTTTTCTTTTGTAAATAATCATACTTTAAAACTTGAAAACAAAAATGAAGAGTGTTTTATCGTACTATATCGAGTTTTCTTTGTGGTATACGCTTAATAGCTACTTTTAAAGACTAACACTGAAGATGCTTACTTTTAACTGCTGTTAAAAATTAACTGAAAAAGTCCGACCGTTAAAAGCTGGGGCAGGCTTCGGAGAGTTATTTTATTGTGGAATATTTTAAAGTTTTATATTTAGCTTATGATAAAATTCTGATATAATATGTCAAAAGAGGAATAAAAAGTGAATGATGAAGTAATTGTCGGGGAGCGTAGTGTCAGTGTCCAGCACCAGTGAACAATTCACAAGCATTTACACGTCACATAATCAAAGCGAAGCTGACACTCCGAATAGAAGCGAATAGTGACAATTTCTATAGCGAGTGGCAATTGAAATTGTGCCACGTATTTTCTGACTGCCCCATTTTAAAAATAAAACCAGATACGGCGTAACGTGTTAAAACTCAGCTTTTTTCGTGTCATTCGTCTATGTACTATACCGAATTTTATAAAACAAAAATTCAACACAGATAGGTTTACAGAATGCAAAGTTTACTTTATTTTATATTCATAGTTTTATTGTAATAATAATATTTGTTAATTATTTAGATCGTCCTTGTATAATGTTAAAGTTATATGTAGTTTATTTATGTTGTATTGGTGCAGATCGGTGTATCTGTCATAGCCTATACCGGATGTGCCAATTCTAAGAGGTAATGGTTGTATTAATAAATATAAATATTATAAATATTTGTTAATGAGATACATTCAGCACGCAATTTTTTAAAAAACTACAGTGTTCTAATATTTTCCTTGTTCTTTGTTATTAAAAAGAACTGAAAATATTTATAGTCACTTCTTACGCTACACAATATTGAGTATTTTAGAATACAGTCTGCGTTTATTGAACACTGGTGTTTACCCACCGATCCGCCTGTTTCATTTTTTAAGTATATTTGCTCTGTTTTTAACAGGTATAGCGTTGTGTTAACAATTTTTTTTTCAATAAATGGGCAATAAAAAAAAACATTTTTTCAAATCAGACTGGTAGTTACAGAGATAAACATATTTCAACTGACAAAAAAGTATGCCTTTCGGTTTAATATAATAATTTACACAACTGAATGTAATAGAAGAGAAGCAGCGAGCAAGCACTGTTAGTGAAATAGTAATTCCCTATTAAAACGTATGAAGTGGATAAGGATTTCCTAAGACTCGAACAATTTTAAATGACAAAAGGTACTTGAAACGTCGTTACCGAGAGAGTTTTGTGAGGTGTGATATTTCAAAGTTCAACTGGAAAGGTGGGATATATTACACTTAAGTGTTCTTTTTACACAAGTTTGCCTTTGAAATTGATTCTAGCTTATATATCTACAATGTTATGCCTTAATTTATAAATATGTAACTCAATAGAAAAACATTCATTACGTACCGAAAATACAACATTATTAAAACATCTTAGTTTAATTCTAAAATATGGAGAAAAGGTTAGTAATTCTCATTATCTATATAGGTATATGTATTATATACCTAATAAAATCGAACTGAGTCGAATCTGTTCATAATGAATCTGAACATATATATTTTTTGTAATTTTTTTTTTTGGAATAGACATTATTATCGATACAGAGGCCGAATATATAGTTTTTAGAATTTTTGTCTGTCTGTCCGTGACTGCATCACGGAAAAATCACTGGATAGATATTGATGAAATTTTGTATGGTCAAAGCTGGTTATCCGGATCAACATATAGGATACTATTTATTGCAAGAAAATATCTCATCTCTGTGATATCCATAGGTACTAACCTTTAAAACGTATCTAGGGACGAACCCGAGCGGGGCGAGGGTGAGTCGCTAGTATGTTATATAATATTATGAATAGGCACTGGTTGTATAACTTTTTTGTTTGACAAGGCGTATGTAGTAGTTTTATGTATCTTTAACGTTGAAAAAAACTGGACATATTATCTCATTATATAAATAAATTATGTATATAAGTGGTCGGAGGATCCTTGTCAGGAAGGAAGTTCCTCACCTTACGCCTTTATTTCAATTCCAAATGTAATTTGATATAAAGTGTCTGTTGGCACACTCCAGGGATAATAATACTTTAGCTAAGGGACCCTTAGAGGATCTGTATTACAAAAATGCAATTATCAGATAATATAATTGACTTTTAATAAAATTGTTTTTTTGTTAAATTTATTAAAAAACGATTTTCTTTAACGGGAATATATCATCGAACTCATTTAACTAACACGTGATGTAAACAAGTATAGCGGCCAGTTCTTGACGATACATCTCGTAACATCTCGTAACCTTTTTCGTACATGACGATTTCTACCTGACAACTAGTTTTTTACATTTTTTTTTAATGTTGGGAAATGCATTTACGCACACCACTTGCATACGTACAGGTTATGTAGGACTCACCGGCTAGAAAGGTCAGTACCACCCACTAACTTAACAGAACCTCCCCCGTCTTCATGGGGCGTCGCAGGATCACTTGCGCATTCAACCACGATGCCCCGATGGTAGGCCTGACGCCGAAGCAAACTTACAACCAAGGGGTAACTCTCACAGTCTGTTCTGCTGTCAGAGAAGTACCTGGAGCAACCCGTATGGTACACCACCCACCGAGGTGGGCCGCCTCCCATTACGTTTGTAGACTTCGCGCCTATCTCCTATATATATATATATATATATATATATATATATATATATATATATATATATATAGGTATATATATGTACGTATGTATATATAGTTCTGCAACTAGACAGTAGACATACATCAAGATTAGCTAACGTAGATTTAATAAGCTACTCTCATTTCCTAATTAGAGCACATTATTTTTGCTGAAAAAGTCACCTAGTGTAAAATAAGCATTAACTAAAGTAATTAGGTGATATTTAGTACACTCATGAATATCCTATTAAACTTCGCTTGGACTAAGGATAATAATGTCTTTAATTTCATTTAGAAACGTTATTTCGATTGCGAGAATTTATATTAATTTGCCACTACGACAAAGAACTGTAGTTTAAGTAGTTTAAGAAGAAATTATTGGTTTTATCAGAGAATTAAATATTGGGGAGATAATGAAAGCAGTTGGTAGAATTACGTGACCAATATGTCCCGGGGCGGGCGGCGACGTTGATCGCAAAATGTATGTAACTCACGTACCGCGAGTTTGCTTTGCCAACGTGCGATGGCTACCTTACTTCTGGCATGGTTCGACTGGCGGATATCGAATTAAACTTCGATCATGTATTCCGTCTTCGATGTCGATTGCTTTTCATTTGTTTGGTCTTATATGCTCATATGTATATAGTTACGTAGTATCATTAGTTTTTTAGATAGTAATCTCTTCTATTCAGTCAATGATGCTTTATTATAATATAGATACGTTATATGCTCACTAAACATGCACATATTATTTTATAGATATAGATGTGAAAAGGATAGTGTAAAAACTATAAGAAATAAAAAGATTAGTAGTGTTTGTCACTTGCGCGTGGTTCCTTTAAATTACGTAATCATGGCGTCTTTTTTCGTTTACAAAAGATTATAAACCAAATAAAATATAATAATTTCGGCTTACTTACCTGTGGTATGTGAATCCCGTGAATACGTTTGTTTATTTTTCTTTGATAATTAGTGCATTTATGGAGTATAGGAACACGACGGCAATTTAATTATCAAAGCGAATGTTATATACTGATCAGCAAAGTGGGAAGCCCTTGCGTATTCTTTACATATTCGAAAGCGACTAAGGCTAATGGAGGCTATAGCCTCCATTTGTGCGCTTCCCTTTTAGAGCGCTAGTAACGTATCTACTCTTTTTATTAATATCATTGTATCCAGTTACAGTTATATAAAAAAAATTTTTTCAGGAAAGACGTCTATTTCGTAACGATCACGCAGGCTTTGACTTGGATGACAGATCCGAAATCAGCGAAGACACTAAGCAACTATGAAGCATGGCGATGTGACAAGAAAGATTTACCACCAGCGCCTTGCAATCTTCCCAACAAATGTGCTTTATCCTTTAAACATCCGACTACAAATTTCACCGACACACGCTATATGGAAACCTGCAGTGAATGCCCTAATCAGTAAGTAAACTATAATATATTTAAATTATTACTATATGTATAAATAAGTATTTTAATGAGCATTTATTTAATTTACTATTTGTTCATATGCCTCACCGTTTAAACAATTATTCATTTTTTACTATTTTTTTATGTAACGTGTTAAACCATAAGATAAAATTCACACAATACATTTCATAATCTATACATATAATAAAATTGTAACTGAATCAAATCTGTATATTAAATATTTTTTGGAAAATCTTATTGAAATAGACATTATTATCGATACAGAGACCGAATCTATAGTTTTTAGAATTTTTGTCTGTCTGTATGTCTGTCTGTCTGTTACCGCATCACAGAAAAACTACTGGACGGATTTTGATGAAATTTGGTATGGTCATAGCTGATTATCCGGGTCAACATATAGGATACTTTTTACCACGAAAAAATGTGTCATTTCCGAGAAAAATACAATAAACTAATGTAAGAGTATAAGAGTATACTAATATGTAAAACCTAAGAATTTGGTTTTTGGTCATCTGAACGCGGTCGGAGCCACGGGCAATGCTAGTATCTTATAAAATGAAATATAAAATAACTATGAAACAAAACTTATTCAAAAATCACCATAAGTGTATGTCGTTAATGAAGTAATGAATCCAGAATATACATTATCTCCATTCTAAGTTCATTCAATTCATTGAACTTTTAATACGTAAAAGGAAACACACTCAGTTTTCACTTTGTAATAATTGCAAATAGAAGTGTTAATTACTTTATTTCCAGGTACCCTTGGTTAGGTGACTCCGGTGGAACTGGTATTCCCGGTAAAGACAACTACATACCTGACAGCCTGAAGAAGTAGTAGAAATCTAGCTGTTTTTGCATTGGTTCTATCTGACGGCAGACTAATGTCCCAACTATAAGTGTTTGTGTATTATATAGAAAAATTCGCTCTATTACTTATCATGACAAAACTTTTCCATTTTACATATGATTTATACATTTTAATTCCAAAAATATATTTCTGTAAATATCGCCCTTGGGCTAAGTCTGTCGTCGACTACAAAATAATCTATTCAATATATTAATGTACCTAATGTAATACCCCGAGAATTCAAGACACACCAGGTTTGATACGTGGAGTATTTGGAATTTGATACGTAAATTAAATTTACCTACCTTTGAAATGTGTATAGTGGTATTCTGAATAGATTATTACATTGTACATATGTACAGGCACCTACCTATCTATTTTGTTATATAGCAGTGACTAGTCATTGCGGGTCGAAGTGTATGGTTGTATAAAAGCTTTTTGTATGAATCTGCACTCGAAATTTTTTCAGATTTATTTTAAAAAGCTGCGCACAAAACGTGGAGGTGTACAGTTTTTTATTCAACTCGTGCAGATTCGTGAAAAAGTTTTGAATTTTATTGTAATTCTAATGTATCGTAAGTAACGTAATATATTTTGATAAAAATTTAATAATTAAATATCAATACCATGTAAAACAATTTTTCCTTATACCTTTATGTACTTACCTATTTATTTATACCTATATTTCTTTGTCAAAGTGTTATAATTTGAATAAGTAATTTAAGTCAAGTTAATATTTTAAAAACAAGTATGTTGCATGAATAATAGTTATTATTAATTTTCGAATTTACACACTGTCGTTGCCTCGAAGGTTTAGCCAATCATGATATAATAAAACGATTAAGGATGTATTACACTCTTACCCCTACCTGTTATACTTACATCAAATAGCTTGCACTGGATATCCTTATGTGTTTTAAATTTCGTATTAGTTCACCATATAATTTAAATGAATATCTTATAAAATTTTAGCAAACTCAAGGATACTTAGAAAACCCGCAGGGTGTAGTAAGAGCCTAAGCGAAACAAGGACCTGTTGTTATTATCTTAAAAAAACTACAATTATTTATATTATGTCGTTAGTTTCTGGAGTATTTAATATTTTAAAAACTTAATTAAATGTTTTCGCAATCCATTTATTGAATGCATGCAGATGAAGTAATTGCACTAATAGAAACGACAACGAACAAGTCAAGTCAACGAACTTCTTTGAATATAACTCTTTATGAGGTGATTTAAAGTGGATGATGTCATACAAAAGTATTTTTTATTAATTAAAGAATTACTAATATATTGATTAATACTGCTATAAAGTAATGAAAAGTAGAAAAAAATTAAATTTGAAAAAAAAAAAACCTCTGAAAATTTCATCAAAATCGGGCCATAAAATAGCAAGAGCTAACAAAGTTTTATAACAAATAGAACGTTCAATATTATTGAAAATTATTAATTATGTGTATTATATAGATACAGAAGTGGTGATTTACGAAATAACTTCATAGTGCAGTTTGTGTTTGCGACTCGTTGCAGATTTAATTTGAGATTGGGCGAGCAACTGAGGAAACTTTTACGACGCTCGCATTCACTTTAAAGACTGGTTTGCTCATATTTGGATCTAATCTTACTTGGTACTTAATTCAATGATCTGCTTAAGCGAAAATTCAATATATGAAGGTTTTTCTTAAACTAACGTAACGTAAAGTATATTTATAGCATACAAAAATTATGGAAAGTATATACCTAGATGGTATAGGTAAGTAGGTACCTATACGGTATACTTCTCCATCAACTTACGAGACCACTTTATCTTTTAATGAGAAGTTTCATTGGTTAATTATATTTACGTTTCAACATATTTTGCCAGTATTTTGTTTAATTATTAGTACTGACTCATGTGTTAATCCTTCCAAATATTACGGCTTTAATGAGGTAACATGGTAGAAGACCATTATACTAATATTAATAATATTACCTAAATAAATGAAATTAATAATATTACCTAAATAAATGAAATTAAATTTCAGGACAAAACTTAAAAGATAGTAAAATAATTTGATTGTAAAAGATAGTAAAAGAATTTAATAAAAAGGGATTTAGGTAAATATTTAAGGCATTTACATAAATAATAATAATACTTTGTATTCAGCCCTTTTTAACGTCCCACTGCTGGGCACGGGCCTCCCTTCAATACGAGGCAATAGAGGCCAAGTGCGGGTTGGCGGACTTCACGTCATGTCTTTCAAAAACTTGCTAGATTCTCTCACACATGCAGGTTTCCTCACAACGTTTTCCTTCACCGTATATTACATAATAAATATGAGTCTTGTAATAAACGAAGAATAAAGGTGGTCATGCAGTTGTATATTATATTATAAAAGTTACTTATACAAACATTAAGTAGAATAGCTCAAAAGAATATTACTTTCCACATGGAGCAAATAGCTACAATAAACAAAGCACCTAAATAAATATTAGCGCAGGTATGTGGGTAGTGGTACGTAGTTAATAAGGTTTTGTGTATTTTCAGGCACATTATGGCCCCCTGAAGCGTACAAGAGGGTTTCATAAAATATAATAAGACTCGCATAATGAGAACAGGTCAACACTAAAAGCCATATATTCTTTATACGCCACATTTATTTATCTACCTATATGAGAATTAAGCTTAAAAATAGCATAAATCATAACCATAAACCATAACCATATAAAGAATTATTTCTAAAAGTTATAAAATTGTACTAAATAATTCGTGTATGATATCAGCTATACATATAATAAAATTGTAACTAAGCTGAATCTGTACATTAAATATTTTTTGGAAAATCTTATTCAAATAGACATTATTATTTATTATAATCGATATAGAGGTAGAATATACTGTTTTTAGAATTTTTGTCTGTCTGTTTGTCTGTCTGTGACCGCATCATAGAAAAACCACTGGAGGAATTTTGACGAAATTTGGTATGGTGATGCTGGTTATTCGGGCCAACATATAGGATACTCTTTACCGCGGAAAATATCTCATTTGTGAGAAAAAATACAAAAAATGGTTAGAATAAAACCACTTACTATATCAACCGTAAAAATTAGTTCGTTCCATATTATTTTTTAACATTTCATGGAATACAAGTTTATGGTTGTTAAACTGACAAAGCGGGTACCTAAAATTAGTCCATATCTCAAAAACTTTGAAACGTATATTCTGCAAGATAATTTTCGATAAAAGTATTTTAGAAACTGTACCTCAACTTTTTCAGATTTTTTTGACACAATTTTTTGAAAGGTGGAAGGCTTAAAAGACGCAATTAAATGCTAACGACTTTAATAATATTAGCCGAGCCATATGAAATAATAAAAAGCATTTGCTTAGGATTATTTACTTATGTACCTTAATTATGTACTTCTAGAACTCTCACTTTCCCCAACACTTTCTTTTGAAAATCGTTTCGGAAAATATTACTAACCAGCGCTATCTCATCCCTGTTTTGCGACACATTAACATTAAGAAAAAGTTATTATTATGTTATAGTATTAGTAAATAAATGATTAAAATTGATTCAGTAGTTTGAGAGTTTATCGCCCAAAACTAAATAAACAAACAAAACATTTTGGTTTTTGGTTATGTGAACGCGGGCGGAGCCGCAGGCAATGCTAGTATTACTTAAAATATCTATTTTACAAATTAAATTGCTTTCTTTCAGATTAGGCAAGATTTGATCTAACGTAATTTGGGAAACATTACAACATTTACTGTTTATTACTTTTGCTTATATCATGTCTGATTGTATTCTTATATCCCTATAAATGAACAGAACAGAATAAACATCCCTATAAATTCTAGTAGTTGACTCTTATAAATATGTCGAGCGTATCACAACTTTTATTTTCATTAATCAAGACGTAACAAAAACAAAAGAAGAGTAATAATGAACAAATTGGTATCACAAGTCGAGCATATAAAACTGTCTTAACAAGTTATTCTGGCGAAATGTGTAGCTTCGTAAATACCTTTTAATATAATATTACGCCTTTATTAGCTTGCTACAATAACAAGTTAATCTCCATCGATCCGTATAAGTCCGCTCATTATTTTTCCTTATCAGCGTACATATTGAGATAAAAGCTCTGCTTGTCTTATAGATGACATTTTATGTCTCTAGAATAGGAAAGTAACGAACTCATAAATGGAATTCGAGCGATAAACAAACTAGAGCTGAGAGTTGAGAGCTGAGATAGTCACAAAGTGAAAGTACTGAGATGTCAAAGTGTAGACAATATTATATTTTAGATTATAATATACCTACCTTATATATATATAAAATTAATGTAAATATGGATTATTTATCGAGTATATAAACACTCATTGATTAATTTACGAGTATAATCTTTTTTTTGTATAGATTAGTAAAAAAATAATGCTTTACCTACTTTTGTTGGTAGGTTTAATATAAATTTCAAGTACCTATAAAGTATAATTTGAATATGATGAACAATTATGTACATACAAATTACGTAAATATAAATTTATGTAATAATAACCTAAATTTCAAATTAACATTAATACATATTTTTTTAATTTCTCATTTTTTATGATTTCATTTTCTAATTTTCAAGGAATTAATTACAGTAGGTATAGGTATATTTATTTCTGAATATAGCTTTCAGCGCGATACAGTTTATGTAAATAAATAAATATTTTTCTGATTAATATTCCGATTCTATATCGTTGGGTATAGAGTTTTTGCAAGTGCCAGTTGATTTGCTTCCTGAGGGTTCCATATACACGTAATTTATGTAAAACTAGCATTGTCCGCGGCTCCGCCCGCGTTCAGATGATCAAAAACCAAACTGTTAGGTTTTACATATTAGTATACTCTTACATTGCAGTTTTTGTATTTTTTCTCAGAAAAGAGTCATTTTTCCGTGGTAAAAAATATCCTATATGTTGACCCGGATAACCAGCTTTCACCATATCAAATTTCATC